GGAAAGAGGATTCACCCACCAACAGATTCTGCCACAGACAAAGAAACATGCAAGATCAGGACATCACAAAATGCAACAGTCTAGAGTCATTGAATCTTGAATTCTGCATAACAAGAAAGCTCGGTATACCGATGAACTATCTTCAAGATATTGACTGATGCTTAGAACAGATTACCATAAAATTTTCAGAAAACGGGAATATGAACGAATAGTAGATGCTAACCATTACTTAAGCATATCTAATCTTGTAAGAAAACAGATTATGATGACATACACCAAATGCAAATTAGTGAAAAGATAAACAACCATGGATATACCTCGACCACTTCAAGAAGAAGAAGAAGAAGAAGAAGAAGATCTTCTTTCCACTGAAAAGTTCATAAATATTCACATGAACAGCATCACCAACAAAAGATACCCTGACTTTCCCCCAGTGTCCATCAGAAGCTCCACAGCCAATAATTCAGATTCATCATTCGTTAGATTGTGGGAGTGAATCCATGAGAAGTAGGCCCCTCCTTCACCATCATTATACAAAGATCCAATTACTCAACCCAGCTGTAAAAACATCCCATTCCACGCTGTAAAAATATGTAGATTCCTGCAATTACTGCAGGAAAAAAGCCCACCAATGGTACTAGATATCATCCCTATATGGTTCACCCACATCTGAGACTGATGATACTGGAGCAAGTACATTACCAAACACACAACAGAAAATGAAGCAAAACACCATAAGAAACCTGAAGAATCTAGTGTTGTAATCTTCTGAGAATCTCTTCACGGCTAATGCTTAAAGAATCAAGCTTTCTGTAAACGTTTTAAGAATCTGGGTCTCGTGGAAAAAGGACGAAGACAACAAACGAGTAGGTCGGTTTGACTAATAGTGTGTTGACAAGAAAGTGATGGCCCCTTTTCTTCACATCACTTTCGTCTCCAATGGCTTCAGATTCATCAATACATAGAAAAAACCATGCATCTTGATTATTACTACCCACCATTTCTCTCATCAATCTCTGAAAATGATGCTATTTTGTATGTAGTGAAAAAAATTTAGAAGAAAAGTCATAGAACAGAGATCGAGAGGGTAGGGAGGGCTCCTGCAATTTTATCAGTCTAATAATCAAAGAAAGTAGGGTTCAAATCTCAGCCGCAAAGACAACCAAACAGATGATGTTTCGCCATTTTTGGACAAAAAAAAACCTTCTCCTCCAACATCATCATTCTCATCATTACTCTATTTCTTAAACCAAGTGAACAAAGATCTCTTCTTTAGGACCAAAAAGGACCAATTTTTTTTTTACAAAAATAACACCAACAAGAAAAAAAAAATTACACCCAAAAAGAAAAACTTGCAGGAAAACGAAAAATCCATGAAAAAAAGATCAAAGATAAAGAAAAGATTGAAACTTACAGATCAGAAAAGCAGAAGCTGTGAAGTGGATGAAAGGGTCTGCGAGTTAATGAAGAAAAGCTTCCGTTTTTGGCTTTGACAACACACTGTACAAACGCATTACCCAATCTGCGAGAGAGATGGAGGAAGAAAATGGGAGAGAGAGAGAGAGGGAGAGAGAGAGAGAGAGTGTGGTGGGAGCTACGTACAAACTTGGGCGTAGGGTCAAACTGCTTTCACCGGCTTTAACTTTATAAAAATGAAATTAAGTAATAATTGAAAACTATATTCTTTTGTGTAATCATTTTAACTATGAAGAGACATAAAGTTTTTTCTATAAATTAAAAATATTGTACAAATCCAAGACCTCGAATACAGTTAAATATCCAAATAATAAAAAAAATAGTTTTTTTTTTTTATCAACATATGATATTTTTAATTTCAAAATAAAAAAATATTTTTGGATTAAAACATGGATTTGAAATATTCGATTATTTTGATACAAATGAAATTTTTAATCGGAAAATGAAAACCAAATTCCAATTGAGATATATTCCAACATTTTTCAATATCTAAAATTTCAATATTTGGATTCCAAATCATTACCCAACGACAAACCCATCCTTGGCATATTTTGCAAGCTTTCTTATTGGGAGAATTGCCGTAAAATAACTGTACTTTTTTCTGATCTCAATTTAATAACTATACTTTTTTAATTACTAAATAATACCTATACAATTGGTTTTTCTCCAAATAAATTCTATACTTTTAAATTATTGACCAAAAAATATCTACCGTCAAATAACCGCCACGTAGACAAACGGAAATCTACGTGGCAGCGAAATTCTCAACCTCTCTCCTAATCATCGCGCAATATCATCGCCACGTCAGAAAATAAATAAAAAATAAATAAAAAATAAATAATAAATAAATAAAAAATAAATAGAAAATAAATAAAAAATAAATTAATTAATTAATAATTAATTAATTAAATAAATAAAAATCATAAAATAAATAATAAATATATATATACACATACACATATATATACATATATACATACGTATATAAATATATACATACACATATACACATATATATACATACATATAAACACACACATATATATACCATATATAAATATATATATATATACATACATACACAAAAATATACATATATATAAATAATAAAAATATACATATACATACACATATACACATACACATATATATACACATGTTTATATACATACATATAAATACACATATATATTAATACATATATATAAACGTACATATATATATATACATACATACATATACATTCACATATATATACATATACATTATACATACACATATATATATATACATATATACATATGCATACACATATATATATATATATATAGATATACATGCATATACAACACATACACATACATATATATACATATATATAACACATACATATACATATATATATAAATATATGTATATACATACATTTATATATTTATATGTATGTATATATATAGCATGTATATGTATATATATTATTTATATATGTATGTGTATGTGTTGTATATGTATGTATATATATATATATGTGTGTATGCATATGTATATATGTATATATATATGTATGTATAATGTATATGTATATATGCGAATGTATATGTATATATGTATATATATATATGTGTGGATGTGTATATTTATATACGTTTGTATATGTACATGTGTATATATATATATATGTATATGTGTATATGTGTATGTATGTATGTATATTTTTATTATTCATATATATGTATATTTATGTGTATGTATATATATATTTATATATGGTATATATATGTGTGTTTATATGTATGTATATATATGTATATATGTGTATGTATATATTTATATATGTGTGTATATATACATATATGTATATATATATGTATGTGTATATATATTTATTATTTATTTTATGATTTTTATTTAATTAATTAATTATTATTATTAAGTAATTTATTTTTTTATTTATTTTTTATTTAATTTCTGATGTGGCGATGACATGGCGCGATGATTAGGAGAGAGGTTGAGAATTTCACCGCCACGTAGGATTTCCGTTTGTCTACGTGGCGGTTATTTGACGGTAGGTATTTTTTGGCCAATAATTTAAAAGTATAGGATTTATTTGGAGAAAAACCAATTGTAAAGGTATTATTCAGTAATTAAAAAAGTACAGGTATTAAATTGAGAACAGAGAAAAGTACAGGTATTTTACAGCGATTCTCCCTTTCTTATTTTAATACTAACATGCTTTGTGCTTTATATGTCAATATTAAAGTAAATTGGTGTTCTTTATTTTATTCTTTATTTTTCACTAAATTTATAAATAATATTGATAATTTATTAAGTCACACTATTTACGGGCACTTATTAGCAATTCTTAAGTTAAAATAACTTTTATATATATGTTTTTTTAATTAAACTATTTTAGTTTCAAATTTTAGATGATACTAATGTAAAAAATATGTTTTTTAGTCTCAGGCACTATTAATAAAATAAATTATATTATTTTCAAGGTACATTTTGACTTATGAATTGTGTTTTATATAGATATCAATTCATGTGGGAATAAAAAAAAATTCATGTGGGAATTTTCAATAAGTTTTTGTATAAATGGTTCTTATGAAATCTTCAGTACAATAATTTAAATCGATTTAGTATAGAATATAATTTGACCTAAACAAATCTATAAAATGAACCACGGAAGCTCCATCTTTTATAATATATAAGTAATTAATTAACTAATATGGTATAAGTATTTCTCCCATTTTAACCAAAAAAAAAAAGTATTTCTCCCATTCTCTATTACAATTTTAAATATTTGTTTCAATATAATAGATTACAATTATTTCTCACCTACCCCTAATAGAATTTGATTTTAAAAATATTTCTAAACATAGGCCTCAATATAATAATCATGATTATGTTGTTATTAATTAAATATTACTAGCATTCCACATAATTCTTAACGAGGTTTGGGGTCAACGTAAAATATCTAGGATTATGACTTTTTTTTACTATACATTAATATTATAAATAAGTGCGCGTGCGAAGATATGAATCTTATTAAATAATTGTTAACAATATTTTTTATAAGAAATTATTCGTTGTAGGGCACTTTCAATGCTTACAGTATTATATCTTCAAAATATGATCATTTTTATTTATAATGATGATATTAAAATATAAAATTAATTGCATACCTTACATGAATTAAAAAAAAGATTATCACTAAAATTTACCGGTTGCTAGTGAAAACAAAAATAAAATATTATATAAATTAAAACTTTTAGAATGGAATTTATATTGATAATGTAGAATACCTAAATTTCAATTTATAATATATTTTTATGTTTATATATATATATATATATGAACCTATAATATTACTATACGAAAGATTTATTTAGCAACAGAAAACTTATTGATACTAAGAAACATCAGTTTTTTACAATTTGTCAATGCAATTTAATTCTAGAAATAAAAGGTAAGATTTATATAACGCGATTAACAATAAAAAATCTATTATTAAAAATAAGAATTATCAGGTGGATGGATGATATTCTTACTTTTATAATCGGATTAGAAATTATTATTATTATTATTATTATTATTATTATTATTATTATTATTATTATTATTATTATTATTATTATTATTATTATTATTATTATTATTATTATTATTATTATTATTATTGAGATTGCCGAAATGAGCCTGAGAGGGATTGGTCTTCAACTGGATTGGATTTGAATATAGGCCCATGAGCCCATCACTCAGTAATTTAATTTAAATTATAAAATAAAATAAAATAAAAAGCGGGCGTCGTACCAACGCAAAAATATATACTTATAAAGATACCCCAAAGTTTCAAAAAGAGCACAAAAGACCCATCTCGGAAAGAACAACAATGGCGGCGACGCAGATGGATGCCGACGCGGCGACAAAGGCCTTCGTCCATGCCCACGTTCGAGGACCAGAAGATTCAAGGCATTCAGAGCATCGTCTCCAAGCTCACATCTCTCCCCTTTCAGCAGTGCCAGTACCATATCTCCACTGTCGATTGCCAGCCCTCCGGTCCTGCCTCCGGCATGCTCGTCTTTGTCTCCGGTAACCTCCTCATCGCCGGCGAACAACACCCCCTCAAGTCCAGCCAGGTCCCCTCTCTCTCTCTCTTTTGAAGAAAACAAGGTTTCAATGTTTGAAAAATGGAACAAAGATGGAGATATGCAAATCTGTCGAGAAAGAAGAAGAGATTGGGAGAGAACAATTCTCTTACATACTCGTATGTGCTTTGTACAAATTGTTTTTAACCTAGAAATCACAACAACTAGATATTCTAATATGACAATGTAATATTGCCTAGTTTGGTATATGGAAGATTAACAAATATGCATCTAGGATTGTCTTCTTTCCATTTGTGTATATGAGACTATCTACTTGGTTGCTTGTGTTCCATTCTTGGTCGTGTTGCTTTTGTCCGCCAACTTCGGTGTTGTGTTCGTCATCTTCGTGCTTTTCTTGTCTATAACGATCCGAGGTCGTTACCGAATGATAGAACTGTCCCCACATACCAACACGAGATCTTTCAACGTGTTTTGTCCTCACTCACACACATCCCGGAAAATACTTCCTAGAAGATCACCCATCCTAAGACTACTCCAAAGTGAGCATGCTTAACTTTGGAGTTCTCTTGAGATGGTTAACCGAAAAGGTAGATGCATCTTGTTGCTATGAGTAGCTCAATTAATTCTTTTAAGTTATCTTTGACTGTGTAATCCCATACCTACACAGCCCTTGGATCCCTCTCATTTTGGTGTGTTCGATTCATCCCTATACCCCCTATTCAGAAGCTCGTTAGGAGCCGTTTCTTGTCCGTGTCTCTCACACCGGCGATCA